GAGTCTGAAAATGTGTCCGGTATATGGCAATAGGCTCACCCCCTATTGCATGGGACTCATAACATAAATAGTGAAAAGTGGGTGTTACATTGTACAGTGGCATTGAGTGTCGCAATGTGCACCTCTGCCTACTCCTTCGGGGATAAAAAGGCGTGATGTTATGTTATGTTATGACATTGAAACTTTTGTAACCTTTTATTTAAAATAGTTAATGTATTTTTTTATGGAATAGAAGACAAACGAGCAGACGGATCACCTGCTGTAAGCGATCAGCGCCTAATCCCATGGTCACACGCAACAACAGAAGAGTCCCACGTGCGTAGTCAGCCTTTTAAAAAGGAATACGCTCTTTTCTTGAAGGTTTGAAGGTCATATCGGTTCTGAAATACCGCCGACGACAGATCATTCCACAGTTTTGCTGTGCGAGGCAGAAAGCTACGTGAGAAGCGCACAGTTGTGGTCTGCCAACCATCTATATGATGAGGATGCATATGCTGTCATGATGTTCGATGGCGAAAAGATGCGGCAGGTATCAGGTCAAACAATTCCTCAGAGCACACCCCGTAGTTTAAGTAATACAAGATGCACAGTGAAGCTAATGTTAACAAAATCAGATGAGTCTTATGATAATTGTCATGTTTCAAAACCCTTTTTTTATATGTTATCTCATTTCATAAATTATTATCTTATAAAATTATATAAAGCAGCAGATTTTGTTTATTTGAACGCGCCAATCTCACAGATTTGAAAAATACGACATTTATTTAGATACGACATTTATCAAGGAAGGCTATCATAAAACATCACGCTACGATCAATGGGCACTGAGCAGAGCGGATTAAACTGCGCGGAAGTAGCTAGTGCATGATTTATTTATTTATTTTATTTAAAAAGAATCTCTAACAGAATATACACGTAACATACACAGTGTTAATGCAAAAAACAGATATCTTCTGCTTCTGTCTGCCTAGTAATGTCTGAAAAGACATTAATTAACATACCTATACTTCAGCACCTATGTACCAGTGAGCGATGTGTGAAGCAGGGATTTGTATTTCCCCAGTTTATTGGAGAAAATATCAATTTCCGTGGAGTTACAAGCTACGGTGTTATACAGGTTTGACATCCTAACTAGTAGTGAATGTTTTTATTTCTTTATTTAAATCTAGATCATGTCACGTCATGTCATACAGTATGCAAAAAAGGATTATTTTCTCACAACCCTCTTGATTGCAGACTGCTAACAATCTCAGTACAACAAAGTAGGTTTAATTGGGTCACCGCTACAGTTGCAGTGGTGCACTTAATTTGTTCAACGCTGCCATTTTAATTACATAAGTTACTGTGTCTATTTGCGGATGGAAACAGCTACTCTTTGTAACTGAAAGGGCAATGACCTGTTACTGTAACAAAATTAATGATTCAGGAATTCACTAGATTCATTTTCTCATGTGGTGACTGCAGCGACAGAACACGTAAGCAGTACCGTCTTTAACATAAGGCAACTCGGTGCCCGTGCTCAAGGCCCTCATTTTCAGGGGGCCCAGAAGACCCCTTAGCAGTACTCACAAGAAGGCTGCAAATAGTTGGTCTTGATACTCGTACAAATCTAGATAGTGATTTAGAAAAGCCGTTGAGTTTTGGTTTCTCGTACTTTTTCCAGGCTACCTCAATGAGGGCAAGCAGAGGTAGGTAGAAATACAAATTTTTCTTTAGACGTATCAGTCAAATCTATTGTAACAAATGAGGAGGTAGGTCTATTACTAGAGATTAACAAGGACATAAAAACTATAGATTAAATGCGTTTAAAGTCACAAAAAATAATAGATGTTTTAAACTGTAGAAATTCATACTGTGCGCGTATGTATTCCAAACGTGTATTTGTTTTGCATATAGGTAAATGAATTGGCTTTTAATCCAAATACAAAATCAAAAAATATTAACATACAGTGAATTAATGTAAATTATGACTGTTATTTCTCTAAACGTGGACTTGTTGAAAGAAGAATTTCAACTTTTATTAAAACGTAGATGTAAATGAAGAGACTTCTGCTTACCCTCTTATAAAGTTACAGAATGTTCAGTCTCTACTGGCCTCTCTACTTGTCTAACTTTTGTTTATTTTACCGTAATCAAAAGTTTTCTGCGTCACTTTAAGTCGACCTTACATTTCCTCATGGGAATTGTCTACTACGTCTTTGAGTGAATATGGCGGCTAAGGACCACGAAGTTATGCTTTCGGTTTGTCGTTGGTTCAAGTGTTATTTATATCTCCAATCAACGTTTTGATGAAATCTCATCGCTAATTTAAAACAAACCATAGTGCCACATGAAATTAAAAATGATAAAAAAAATGACACTGACTAACGAACTTTTTATATGAATAGCAGTTTCAAAAACAGTTTTTAAGATTAAATAAAAGTTATTTTTCCATTCAATTGATATTTAATTTTATTAAAGGAGATAGAAGTACAATAATATACAATAATGTATAAAAATAAAAATTAACTACAACTGAAACAGTGAATGAAAGAGAGTTAAAAAACTTTATTTGTGGAGTGGCGGCATCACAGAAACCGACGTGAAACAATGCTTGCGTTATATTTTGTTGTGTGAGTGAGGTTACCAAAGGCCCAATTACCCCCTCCCCAATTCCCGAATCCTCCACAATCCTCATATTCCCAATTTCCAAAAGGCCTGTAACGCTTGTATCGCCTCTGATATTTCAGATGTCCATAGGCGCCGATTGCTTACCATCGGGTCATACGTCTGCTCGTTTATCGGCTTCTCCCATAAAAAAAATACCATCAATTAGACGTCAAAGTACTCGTTCACATCGCTGTCACAACTTAACTAGTTGTCTACAGGACCAATCAATAATTGTTATAAGTAGCAAAGGATGTCTCGTCACTAAATCAAGACAAAACATTCTACAGTATACTACATGACTACAGTAAACATTATACTTAAATGATTAAGTAAAATAACTTTTGAAAATCACCTACAATATAAACTATTTATTTTCTCTCCATTCAGGTATTTTCATGAAAATTCTGAACAGTGAAGATATTCATACTGAATTCTGAAGTTACACGTCTTTTATACTTCACAAAAGTTATGAATGTAATTAAAATATAATTAGATAGACAAATTAGTTATAAAAATAATAAATTAACTAAAAGTAACTGTTTACTTGGCCGCTGCTTCGTTGGCCGAGTGGTCGCCAGTGCGACTGCCGGTCAAGGGGTCTCGGGTTAGATTCCCGGGTCGGACAAAGTACTAAGTACTACATTGGGTTTTTATAAATTCTCAGTAGTAGCACGAAGTCTGGAATTGTGTCCGGTATATGGCAATAGACCCCCCCCCCTATTACATGGGACTCATAATATAAATAGTGAAAAGTGGGTGTTACATTGTACATTGGCATAATGTACACCTCTGCCTACCCCTTCGGGGATAAAAGGCGTGATGATATGTAACTGTTTACACACATGTCAAAGTAAGGTATACAATTAAAAAATATATATATAATAGCTAAAAAACGACGACGTTACAAATCAATTTGAATGAAGCACGTGCCCAGGTTCAAATACAAATATATTGTATCCGAGAACGAACTGTTTTATTCATATTTGCCGTACGCCTACTTCTCTGCTTCTAGGGTTCAGAGGGAAAGTAAATGCCTCGCCTTTTGTTTCCTAAAAAATAGAGCAATTATTCCTAGTTTTACCAACAAGATGACACATGATTACGTGTCAAAGACAAAAAAGATGGCCGATTCCTACATAATCATGTAGGAATCGACCACCTTTTTGTCTAGCTGTTACAAGGGCCAATACTCGGCAGTATTGGGCCTTGTAACTGTGGGATTTGTGTCAAATCCTACCCTGGGACGCTTACCCGGCGGCAACGGTCCCAGATCCGGGTAAATATTAGACGTTTTTAAAAGTCCCTGTAATTATTTAACTGACACAAAATCTTTGAGTAATCACTGTTAAAAACAAGAATTATTATTTTTCCTGCAAATCTTATTCGACCCACAAACCTTAAAAGATTTTAATAAAACTAGATTGAGCAGAATTTCTAG